TTTTTACAATAGATTTAAGGCAACCAGGCACTAAAATTTTCTAATTCGGGATCAAAAGTTAAAAGCGGAAGGTGAAAACATTAAAAGCTGTTTCTGGGTGGTGTGCAAGTTAAAATCTAACGTATAGGATATAAAAAGGACACAGGTAACACAGGTTGATTTATGAAGGTAGTAAAACACAAGCTACTTGGTCAAGATAAAATAGGGTTCTTAAAAAATAACATCTCTCTCTTCGGCACACCGAATGGTGAGACGCTTAATTGTTCTGTTTAAACTTTGGGGAAAGAAAATGCACGTCTAGCCTCGCAGAGAAAAAAAACTTAAGAACGAATTTAGTTTAACATGGCCACCACGTGAAAGGGTCTATGGAGTACTGTGTAATAAATTAGGGTAGTTGATTTCAAAACGAAGACAAGAATACTTATATCTTCTGGAATGCTATAAGACACTATTATGGCGACTTACAACTTTCAGTCCGGTATTTCGTTAAAAACCTCTCTACTTGTTTGTTTTTATCCCGGTTTAGTTCATTGACAACATGAAAGAGACAGGATTCAATCTGGCGCCTTCACAACGGAGCTATTGCATTATAATACAAAACCAAAGGTCTTTTTTCAACTTCTGTTGATAAACAACATCCACCACCCAAAGGACTTGTGTACGTTTTAAGAAAGTATGATGCTACCTTTTGCAGTGCCTTCAACCTAAAGCTCCGTTGATTGGTCCATTAAAGGCCAATTTTATTTTGCGTTGAACCCGGAAGCAATATGAAAACACGGAGGAACTACCTACCGCCACTGTTCGCTGGGAAAGTGACTCAAAAGGCTGTTAAATGAACTACAGGTCTTTTCCTTTGCATCTCGCCAGAGAACTAACGATGACAACAGTTTTGCATATTTATCACGATCGAGGCGCACTTTGTGAGAAACAAGAACATGAGCAATCGCTACTGATGATACAAGACGAAGCATCCTTTTGGTGTTGTCTGTGCCATTTGATAGAGGTAGAGCATTCTGCTCAATCTTTGGCTGCAACATTTCCTTTAGAAGCTAAAAATGGTAAGATAAAACAACATCCATTAATATAACACAGTGATACACGCTGACGAAAATACAGAAGAACAAACGACAGACCTAAATCAAAATCAATACGTAACTACTTTCCAAACATTCAGCATAGAAATTATTTAACATATTATTAACGTGTATTGATTTGATAAGTAATTTATAATTTAAGAGAATAACTTTTGAGTATGATATGCACCGAGATCGACCATCGTTTAGCGTGATTTTATTGCAACAGTGGTTAAATTTTAAGAAGTTCGTCTTGAAGGTGTCCGTCAAACACTGTCATATCTATGGTAGCACTAAAAACTTCAGTTTACAATGTTCACAGTCATCAAAGATAAAATTAAACATTGCCATACTTTGCTGAAGTCATACGAAGACGGAACATTCTTGTAGACACGATCATTTTCCTCCACATGTGCTTGTGTCATACAGAAAGCTAAATCGTTGACAGTCTCTATGGCCTCCCAAGCCGACAAGCTTGTATTGCCGCCTTTCACGGTAAATCCTTCCCAGTCGGGAAGCATTGCCCGAGTAGCAATCTTTCTTCCTTCAGCAGGATCCATACTTTTCAGAAATGGCATTTTGTTACGAGCTGACTGAAACCAGCTGGGTGAACTAAAAATTGTGTCATCGTATTGGTTCCAGACAGCTAAAAAATAATAAGAATAATTAAAAAATTATAAGAACAACAACAACAACAACAACAACAGCCACTTTGACCCATATAGCTGGGACATTCTTGGACACAAATTTTTTAACACCTGTCTACTCTGTGCAATTGCATAAAGAGTCAAACGCGGAAACAGATCACTATATCTAAATGTTATTGACCCGGTTATGATGCATGAACTGACCTAAAAATATACGGTAGTAAGGTCGCTCTCCAGCATTCCGGAAGGCACACCCTTTATCTTATATACTCATATATCTAGACAGCTTAAAATTTATTGGAAATCCATTATGACACATAAATTACACAACACATAAACTGAACTACAGTGGCGGATGTAGGGGAGAGGCCCAGGGGACGCCCCCCTTCTTTCTAGACCAGGGCCAAAAAATTATTTTTTGGAGACCGCCCCCCCCCCCCCCCCCCACCACACACGTCCCCTTCTCCCATACTCTTCCTCTTTCCCCCCCACTCAGCTATCTCATCTGGCTGTCTGTTTTCTGTGCGTCTACACCCCCCCCCCCCCCCCCCCCCAATGATATTATTCTGATATTATTTTTTTTGGTAATCAGAATGAATATTTGAGCTCTTTTTGCAGTTTGTCCGGCTACTTACACGAAAATAAAGATTAAAGCAACATGAATTAACTAACGTCTAACGTACGCGCAAAATTGGGTAAATATTGAAGCAATGAGAATAATTTCGTGAATAACTTTGAATAACTTTGTGTTCTGGGATTTTCTTGTCTCGAGGTTAGCACAACAACGAATTCCAATGCACTACGCTTGAATTTTTCGCGTTTGTCTGCCCTCTAAAACCTTCCAAACGTAAACATAAACAATTAAACACCTCCCGCTCCACGTCTGTCCTTTGGTATTTGAAGACATCTGTTATTGAGATATCCCCAGCCAATCAAGTAATCCCACAAATATTTTGCCTTTTCTCTTGAATCTTTCCTTTTTTCTTTCCATACAATGTACTTGTATGGAACTTTGCGGGACACACATGAACATGGTACCACGAGCCTTGCTTGCACCAGGATAAAATCATCCTCTAAGTATCTATATTCAAAAGTGCAGAATATTATCAGATTCAATCAGTCTCCAAAGATCCATCCTAAGATGATGATAAAATCCATTCATAGAAGTAGTGGGAGTGTCACATGATTGTAAACCATAACGATATCACTTATCGGACGCTCCCAGCCTGCGTTGCTGGCGGGCACAGAGGGTGGTTTACCACACACTGTTGGCAGGGGAGCCACCGGGCGAACACGCGGCAGGATAACTCAACGTAATTCATCCTCATTGTTCTCGCGGCTCTACAGCCAATGCGTCAAAGTCGTGCTAGTCAACTCCCGTCAGCTACGCAGGCTAAATGCTGTCTAGCTAGTGCGTTTGCAGTTCGTTATATTTTCATTCACACTGAGGAAGGGCTGCTGTGACTAATCTTCTTAATCAATTAGCATGTTACTTCCCTATCGACGCAACAAAAATCATTTGCAAAAATATCATTTCACGAAGAACTTAAGACCTTCCTATAAAACTATTCCAATAAAAACGGAATTCAATTTAAATGTAAATTTATCGTTAAACAAAAGGTTAGTCTAGGATATTTATGGATATGTTGAAGAACAGGGAAGAAACCGCCCTCTTGGTGCTTTATTTCTTAACTTAATTTTAACAAGGACACGCCAATTATCAGCATTATCTATAACTCGCAGCTTACCGGTGATGGACCACCTCCACAACATTGTCCAGAAAATCTCCAAACATTGCTCCTCCGAACCTCATGTAAATTTTGTCTCCAAGATTTGGCTCAAATTTAAAATGGGGCGCAAGTACAGCATGAAAAACAACAGTCATTTTGTCGCCCTTATAATATTCAAAGTACTCCTTTTTCATTTCTGACGACGTTTGATTGTTTTTTGCACGATTTTTGGAGTTTTTTCCACCAAAATCGTTTTCCTCGTTGTTATGAGTTTGTTCGTGATCATCACCATCACCAGGCTGGCTCGTTCCGAAACCGTCGCCCTTTCCCTTGTCAACCACTTGGTTATGGTTATCACTCTGAGTAAGACTTTTCCTGCAAGGAGTGAATATTAAAACACCAACATTATATTCGCAGTAACATTTAACAACTAACCAGCCCTGATATCGCTGACGCCACCTATTGATATCAATGTGGCAGACAGAAGAGCATACTCCACGAAAGAAAGAGCTTGGCAGCACAATGCAAAATTTATGAATGACAAGCAAAGACTGAACTGAAGGGCAAATAAAAAATATAGCGACAAAAAATCATTTCAAACAAACATGCTTAATTCTTGCGGTAGAATAAGAGGTGCCAACAGCCAAACTAGAGGCCACAATGATTATGACTGTTATGATGATGCTGGATATACAAGCCAGCGGGAAGTGCCAAAGTTTACCGCCCTTAAGACAACTGGAATGTTTTAGGGCCGGTGTGTTTGGGACAAATCTAATTTAAACATCGGATATGAAAATTATCCGAAATCTGTTACGTTTTTTTTTTTTGATAGCGACCTGAGCGCTGGTCACGTGACCTCTTTTTCCATGTGACTAGGGTGTTGATGGGTGAGAGTTGTTGCGTTGTTTTATGGCAGAGAAAGAAAAGAATTTGTGAGTATTTGGTTCGTTTTTTCAGTTCTATTTGGCTCTCTACCTACATGTTATGTATTTTTATTTTTATTTTTTAAGTTCGAGTTGAAAAAATCTGTGCTTATCCCCATCATCAGTGAAAAAAGTTCTATTGGAATTGCATGTTTTCAAGTGTGATCAATGGATGATTCGAAGAGTTTGGACGTTGGCTTCGACAGTGGTCGTGGTATGAGTTTGGATTACGCTGGATCTGGAATGGATCGTGGATTGCCCGATTTTTCGATTCACAGCTATTTAGCGCTTCGCGGGAAGGCCATGGCTATCATTTTTCGTTCCAGGTCCCCGCCGACTACTCGCGTTGAATTTTTGGAATCGGATCTGAAAAAGGACTCACGCGACCAGCGGAGTACGGCAATGCAGTGGTCAAATATTAGCAAGGAAATAGACAGTTTATTAAAAGAAACTCAGTCTGAAATTCATGTACCACTGAGTCCAGAGGAAGCTAAGAAATCTGTTGACTTGCTCTTGGAAAAATGGGACTTAATGGGAGGTACCTTGCAGGAATTAACGGGAGAAAACGCTTAGAACATGTACAAGAACGTTATTCTACTCTGAAACGTGAAGTGGACGATATTATCAATGTGTGAGGGTTTGTTTAGAAGACCAGACCCCCGGCATGGTGAACTTGGAATGGACCGCGGACTACCAGTCTGGGATCCGAAACAAGAAGACAATAAGTCATTGCACAGCGTTGCTACTCATTTTACCAAACATTCTGAGGCATTATCAGTTTCCTCACAGAAGAAATCACTAAAGAGGGCACTGGTGTCCAAAATGAAACTAGACTTAGCAAGAGCTAGGGCACAGGAAGATGCAGAAGCAGCAAGAGTGGTTCATGAATATAAGCAAAGGATAGAACTTAGGCGCCTTGAAGAGAAAGCAAAATTGGCTGAGCTTGAATGGAAAATTGAAATGGATAACTTGACTGACAGTAAACTCTCCCCTGTTGTATCTAGCGCCTTGAACACTTCTACATTTATTGTTAACAAGCAATCACACTCCACCACAGTCACGTCTGAGTATGTTACTAGAGATGGGTTTAACAGTCAACCGAGTGCCGTGTATGTGAGCACCTCAATCCACGGAGCCAAATTATCCACAATTTCAAGACCGTGAGACACTGTGTTGACCCACAATGAATCGTCTGTGAAGGGATTAAACACCACCACTCCATCTGCGGGGATTAACTCGACCAACTCCCCTGATCGGGAGGTCGCACACCGTCTGCAGCATGGACCAGGCTCCTCGTGACCATGTTGCCGCAATGTGGAAGGCACAATTGCTTAGCAGAATAAAGCCGACACAGTTCAGTGGTAATCCAGCCGAGTTCCCCTTTTTTCGTGAACAACTTCGTATGCACCTCGAAAGCGACCTGCTTACTGATGCCTAGCAAGTGGAGTATCTGCCTATTTTCGTAGCGGGAGAAGCGTTAGAGGTTGTGAAGCGTAATAGAGGTTGTCCGTTTAACGAGATTATGACAACGTTGGAGGAACGTTTTGGTCAAGCGGTGAGAGTTACGCAAGCATGTGTGGAAGAGCTCGCATCTGGCCCCAAGTTGGCCTACGGCGACAACATTGGTCTTCTCAATTTCTCTGAGAACTTAAATGCAGTCAGAAGGATCCTCAAGGGATACGTTGAACGAGAGGCGAGCGTAACGACGAACCTCACGGGTATGGTGAACCGTTTACCTAACGACTTAATCTTGAAGTGGCAAACCGTGAACTACAAGCTCGTGAAGTCCGGAAGATCCGCTCGATTAAAGGATGTCGCTGAATTTGTGCACAAACAATCTATCAGAAAATCGGAATCAACACGATCTCAAGTAATGACAATGTGGTAGAGTCGAAACGTGTGTCCTTTACCTTGACTTCGGTAGATAGTTCCGGGGAGAGTATTGACGTTTCGGAGGCGTATGTCCTACCTAACCTCAGCCAGTCGCGCTATCCTACTCCGGAGCAGATTGACACTATTGAGTACCCGCACTTACTTGACGTGAAGTTCCCGGAGGTTGACATCAAGAGAGTCTCTATACTTGTTGGAAACAATATTCCCTATGCACATTTACAGAAGGAAGTTAGAGTCCCTGAAGATACGAAGAAAGGGCTCTATGGCTGTCGTTATCCCTTGGGCTGGTGCGTATGTGGTCCTTATGGTGTCAATTGTCGCCAAGGGGTTTCAGCAAACTTTGTCTCGATTGACCCTGAACCACGTTTTCTCATTGAAAAATTTTGGAATCTGGAAGATTATGGGGCAGTGAAATCAAATGAGAAACCCCTCTCGGTGGAAGACAAAATAGCCGTGAAGATAATTGAGAACACCACCCGCTGTGTGGACGGTATGCTGTGGAAGGAGAAAGAACGCCAGTTTCCGAATAATGTAGCCATGGCCAAACACCGTCTACAGTGCCTGATACCCCGTCTTACGAAACCTGGCAATTAAGAAATGGAGTTCAGTACCACGAAGTTATGGATAGTTATATCAGCAGTGGGTTCGCCCGCAAGTTGTCAGAAGAAGAGTTAAACAAAGAGTCTAAAACACATTGGTATCTTCCGCATCACCCTGTAACGAGTTCTACCAAACCAGGCAAGGTGCGCATTGTGTTCGATGCAGCAGCTGATGTGAGGGAACTTCGCTTAATAAGAACTTGCTGACTGGACCAGATGTAGCCAACAACTTGGTTTGCGTTCTCCTACGTTTCCGCCAGGGGAAAATAGCGTTCGCTGCTGACATCGAAAACATGTTTCATCAGATACGTGTGCGTGAGGAACACCAGGATTCCTTGAGGTTCCTGTGGTGGACAAACAGATATGATAATCCCCCTGATACATACGTCATGCAAGTGCATATTTTCGGAGCGGCTTCCTTCCTCTGTATTGCGCCGTGTGGCCGACGACAATGCCGAAGAGTACAGCTCTAGTGTTATTACAGCTGTGACAAAGAATTTCTATGTTGACGATGTTCTTCCCTCTGAGAATGATGAACAGTCCGCAATTCGCCTAGCCCTTGACATGGTAGAACTGCTCGATCGAGGCGGATTTAACTTGACTAAGTTTACGTCGAACTCCAAGAGACTACTAAGTGCTGTCCAAAATGATAAGACGAGCTACCTATAGAGCGTGCATTCGGAATACGTTGGTCTGTGGAAGATGATATGTTGGGGTTCGAAATAAGAAGCCTAGTTCGCCCTGAAACAAAGCGCGGTATACTCTCCACTGTTTGTTCATTGTTTGATCCTCTGGGTTTCGCTGCACCAGTGGCTTTGTCTGCACGGGATGTTCGGGACAAATCTAATTTAAACATCGGATATGAAAATTATCCGAAATCTGTTACGTTTTTTTATAGGGACCTGAGCGCTGGTCACGTCACCTCTTTTTCCATTTGACTAGCGTGTTGATCGGTGAGAGCTGTTACGTTGTTTTATAGCAGAGAGAGCACAGAACTTGTGTGTATTTGGTTCGTTTTTCAGTTCTATTTGGCTCTCTACCTACATGTTATGTATTTTTATTTTAGTTCTCAAGTTCGAGTTGAAAAAATCTGTGCTTAACCCCAGCACGGTGTAAGTGACTTTTTGCGCTGCACAAATGTCACAAGAAATAAGAGAGTAAAAATCAACAACCTTGCTATAAGTAAATGTCAACGGAGAGGAGCACGGATGGGGGAAAGAGAGCAATAGTGATACCAAGAACGACCTAGTCATTGGTAATAGAGGTAGAGAGAAGAAAGATGGAGTAGCGCGACTGCGGGAACATGGCGAGAGTAGCAGCCAAAGACATACAGATGGAATGTCAGGAAGCCTACTGATATGATAATTAACGAAGTTGAGAACTTTGCAATTAAGCCTAAATGATCTAAATGTTAGTGAAGCTAAATAAAAGTCTACTAAACAAAACAGTGGACTCACTGCGCTGCTTCCCTTCTTCCTTCCTCTTCTTTCCTTTTTTTCCTTTCTTTCTTTTTTTCCTTTTTCTTCTGAGACCTGCTCAAGGGCAGTTTCCTTTTCGTGACTACAGATTGTGCTGCCTTATCTTTTTGTGGATTTGAATTATCTTCCTAAAGAAAAAAATGTAAAAAACAAAACGAAACGACATGAAGCAGTAAACAAACACATGACAATTTTAACTGTTCAACATCATAAAGATGATTCATCGATTAAAACTAGATTTAAAAAGCAGATTTAACCTCTAATTCTTCATATACATATCATTAACACGAACCCAATAACACCTGAACCAGTGGTCGTAAAAGATAAATGGATGAATAACTTTGACAGTGACACAGCACTAAAAATGATTTCTGATATTTTTTTAGAGAGGACGTAATTACGACTGACCAGATCATCATTTCAGTCAGAGAAAAAAAACAGAAAAGTGTCAGCTACACATTATGTTGATGTGATATTAATTTACTAGGGTGCCATATTTTATTCTATAAAGCTTCAAGACGACAGTCTTTGGTATCTGGTTTACCAAGTCATCACGTCCGAGCAAAGATAGGATTTTGTCAGACAAAGGTAAATTGGAAATTTCATGGACACTGCTGATTACTGACCATTATTTTTTGCAACTGTGGTAATAATTACCTCTATGTCTGATTCATTTTCATCGCTTTCATCGCTGCCCTCCCTGTGATCATTGTTGACTTGACCATCACCTTCAGGCTCTTCAGAGGGAGTGTTGTTGTCGCTCTCCTTCGACTCTCTGCCTACTTTGTCAGCCTTCTCTTTGATTGTATTAGGTCCTGGATCCACAGGGGCATCAAAATCTTCAGATGTTTTCAAAAGTGTCACTGTTTCACAACCTTTCTTCACATCAGGCCCTGAGGACTCTTGGAATGCAGTTCCAGCATTGTCAGTTACTTCCTTTTCCACATCCTTAGAGATGGTTGCTACGCAATGAGAAAAAATAAAACTAAATGAACTAGTACTAGGGAAATTTTTCAGATGTGTAAAAATATCAGTGACCCACTGATATTGCCCTCAAGTGTCCCTAATGTCCCTGATATGGGTGTGCTAATAATGTTGAGAGTAAGGGTAAGGGTGAGGGTTAGGGAAAGGGCAAGTTTGCACAGGTATTCAGAACACCAAATAAGGGCATACTGTAACACCCAATGCCATATTTTGACCAAAAAAGGAAATAGTCTAGTAATATTCTCCCAACTCACGTAAAATCGCAGACTTTGCAATTTTCAAAGCACCATATCTACCGCACATGTCCACCATATCACATGAACTTTGCAGATTAACCCCGTATTCCATAACAATCTAGCTTATGGGCAAGTTTTAAACCTTAACCCTAAAACTTCAATTTACAATTTTTTTCCCAAATTGAAAATAAACTTGTCTGCTATACTGTCAGACGTGTACCTAATTACGGTTAGGATTAAAATTCTTGAAATGTTTTGTACTTATACAAAGTTAGGGTGTCCCACCTAGCTGGGGGTGCATTCATGTTGCAACAAATTTGCACGAATTAGAAGGATTAAAACACTATGGCTTCCCACAGCTGCCAACCTGGCAAATCCTTTATCAGTAATACTACCAATCAGTGTAAATTTTTGCTATCCATCTCAAAGATTTGTCTTATCTTTCCTGTTTTCTCCTTTAATAGCAACTATTATTCACTTATTCATTTGCTAAAAGCACACGCATAATTCACCATAACCAGTTACTGATGACCAAATTTGCAAGAATTTTGAGTTTAATGAGAAGATGACATAAAAAATGCAGCCCGCTGCAGGTTAAGGCACCGTTACCGAGAAGACCTGGGGACGAGGTTGAGTTGTTTTGGTTGTGAAAACAAAAATGGCGGACACTTCACTCGTTTCAATAATAAGAACTACAGCTGGAACTAGGCGAAATAATAGCTAAAAAAACGGCAAAAACAGCAAGAAGACAACTCGGAGGGTGATATCTGCTATTTGGAGAATATTTGCAGAGCGGGACAAACCTAAATGTACACTGTCGAAGATGAAAACTTAATTTCGATGCAAGTATAAGCATGTTTTAGCTATGTTTTTAAAGTAGGAATTATTTTGAATGGATAATAAAGCAATTAATGAATGAGGCTGAGTAGGATATGAAGAATAAAGCAGATCAAGGAGGGTGTTATAACACTCTACGAGATTATGGTTTTCCCTCACTAATGAAATTTCCCTTACCCTTGACTCACCCTCGGCCGTACCCTTACCTTTACCCTTGTTTTAGCAATTCCAGGGCAAAATTAGCCAAACAGAAGCAATACAGTCTAAATACCTCCAAGGCTTTCAACAGGATTCCAAAGAAGAATTTGTTGGCAAAACTAAGTCACAAATATTAACCCGTCCTAGCTATGAGCCCCTTAGACATTGACTTCACATTAAAATGTTAATGTCAGAAATTACACCTGTATTGCTTCACAAAGGAAAATAAAGGGCCCATTGCAGACGAAAATTACACATTGCAGATGGATCAATAAAACGTCAATAAATGTGCAAGATTTGAGTATTTTAGTCAATGATGAATTTTAATATTGCATAATTATTGATGCTGTGTTTTATCTTTTGTAGAAAATTTTTTTTTAACATCATTACTTTAAATTTTATTTCATTTTATTTGGGTGTCTTGCGTGATGGTAACCCCATTGCAGGACTGTAAATTTTTGAATAAATGTTGAATAAAGGTTGAATGAATATTTAAACAGACAAATACATGGGTTGATGAGACTGTTTAAACATCAATTGAACCATACTGAATTTGTTACAAAAACTGCTCAACCAAAACAGACTTTTTGGAAGAGTGTCATCTTATGGTCCAATCAACCTACCTGCCGACTGGTTACTAGTTCTCCCTTCTGGGATTTGCTCTGAATCAATGCTGTCGATGGTGAGAGGCTCATCACGTTCTTCATGCTGAGTTATTGCAGTATTGGCAGGACCTTCCACCTGCTGCTCTCCTGCCTTCTTTACGAGTGAAAGTTTTTGTAATTCACTTGCAGCTGTATCTGCACCCTCAGGTGAGTCAGGTTTGTCCTCGATACAAATGGACTGTCGCTTGGCTGGCTTTTCCTCTGGGACCTCACTTTTTCTTTTTCTTTGCCCATCTCCATCTACTGTTGAGCAGGGTGGCACAACAAAGTTAAATGGTAAAACTCTCTGCTCAAGGTATGTCAGGCATTAGTCAAAAATATTGACCAACACCTTGAAATTCTAATCTTTGTTTCACAACTGATGCACTTAACAAGTCCGGAGCCTGCATTTTGAACAAAAGTCAAGTAATCTTGA